GAGAGAGAGAGAGAGAGATAGGAAATGTTTAACACACACTTGTACTTAAGTTCAATCAGAAAAATTTTTTTTTTTCAAAAAAATTTCTGATTGAGCTTAAATAAAATCAAAAATGTGAAATTTATAAATGTTTCCTATTTATACTTCTTACTGTGCAATATGCAATTAAATCAAACCAGGTGCACCAATACACATACTCCATGCCATTCACATGATAGCAAACCACCCTCAATCCCTCTGTATTTTATTGGTGAAAAGTAAGTTCCACTCAAGTAGCTTCTTCCCATAAACCACTTCTCTGTAGAACTGACTCCCAAAAGAAGGTTTCCTCAAGCACTACAGTTTTAACCTGTTCAAGTTTAGGTTTAACAGTTATCTTCCCCACCTATCAACATAAAATATGCTTGTAACCCTCTACTACAAGTAGCACCCAGGCCTTGTACATGGTGAACTTTATTGTAAAAAAAAACAAAAACAAATGACAAAGTCTTTGTTTAACCTGCTTCATATCCTTGGTCTGTGATCACTTTTTGTCTTGCATCATGCGACAGATCGCCTTGAAACAGACATTAGAGAGCTTTTCATTTCCCTTGCAAAATGTCTAATCTCTACATCACTGTGATTGAACCAATCCTCAGGTTTCCCCTCAATGAAACCTAAAAACTGCTACATTATTTACATTATTCGGACTATTGTCCTCATCTTTGTCACCATATTTATTACAACATTTCACACTCTTTGAGTCCTGTCACTGGATCTAACTAACAACTTCATCCACTGTGCCATGTGTCCTTGAGGACAAAAAAATCAGGGACAAGTGTGAGTTCAATACCCGGCTAAGGCGGTGGAGAACTTTCAGAGGGAAAATTAACAGGTGATAACTGATAACTGACATCTATTAAACATGGCATGTGGAACTAGAACAGTCTACCCCAGTGAGTGAAATAAAGGGTTCAGTTCAACATTCCAACCACCGGGAGAAGGCCAGAGCGTACTACGGCCAAAACGTAATAAATATGACGACAAAGATGAGGACAATAGTCCAAATAATGTAAATAATGTACATAATACCTCATCTCAGAAATATAGACAGATACTAAAAACTGCTGTTTATGCCATAAACATATTCTTTAAAAGATTGTCATGTGTTTCCACAGTCAAGTTCCTTACATACATGCTTATTTCTCCAACAGGCAACATTGACCTTTCTGGGAATAAACACATTGGAAAAACCCACTCTTTCAACACCAATAAAAATTACTAAGATATTTTTTTCACATGTTTCATTATGAGGCATACTTAAAAAGTAGTAGCTTGATTGCTTTCTTATCTTCAGCCAATATATCTTTTCTTTCTGTTTACATTAAGAAGAGCAATTTCAAATATATTCTTGTTGTTCAATCCACTTTTGTTTATAACTCTTAATTCTACATAGTCTACTAATCAGGTACAGACAGTGTAATGGATATTGCTACCAAAAGTGAATTAGACATGAAGAATTCAATTCCCTTTTGATTTTTGTTTCATTCACTTCATGCTAATACCCTTTGAAAAGGCATGAAACCATCTCCTTCTAGGTTATGGTTAAATAGCAGGGCAGACTGGCCTATTTTGCCTTGAAGTGGCAACCAGTCTAGGAGAAGGAATACTGAATTTAAAACCAGCCTGAAGAGGATTGGGCTTTGTTAGACTATCTTGCCCTAGACACCTTTACTGCTATGACTGCAGTACATGTGATGCCTCTAATACATATTACTTGTGATATAAAATTTGTTTACATGTCTATTACATCAGCTTGGAGATGAATGGATTCCATTAGATCTTGCCCTAGACACACCTGTACTGTTATGGTTGCAGTACATATGATGCCCATAAACATAATGTATATTACTTGTGGAATAAAATTTGTTTTTATGTCTATTACATCAGCCTGGAGAGGGATGGAGTCCGTCAGGTTATCTAGCCCTAGACACACCTGCAGTACATATGGTGCCTCTATGAAACTGATCAGTGACAGGCCACACACCACACTATTCAGACCAACATGCTTATCTTGGCTTTTATACTAATGTATTAACTGCTAATCATGAGATAACTTGCTATTGGCAGTTTTTATTTTGATATTGACCATGAGTTATCTCATTTTTGTGATCTTGCCATCAAAGCTACAACTACAAATGTTTTCATTGTTTTTGACACTAATAACTGATACCCGCTGTCTAAGGTAGAAATGAAAAATTGTACTGGCAGCTTAAAAAAAAAAAATTATTAACAATATAACATAAACCAACTCATGAAATTTTTTTTATTGAGTAAGTTGACTATTATAAGGTTGGCGTTTGAAGTTAATTTTCATAATTAACCTCAGGTTTCAGCTGTTGTACTTTCTAACATTCAGTAGAAGCCTATTTTCCTGTCCTGGGTATGATAATATATGTGGATAAACTGTCTGAAGTTCATATTTTGTTATTTTTGTTTAAGTACTTTTGACTTTCCAGTCAGTCTGTAGGTGAGGAAAAAAATGTAAGAAATACGATTTGAAAAATGATATGTGTTTTCCAGTAGGATTCGAACATGCGTTTTTCTAGGGGAAACCATCATAAGATCTGACATTCTTTGATCTCTCGACGATAGAAAACCTATGGCCAAGCAAAGCCTAAAAAATGCCATTAAACAGGATTCCCCCACTCCATTCTCAAATTACACATCTCTACTCAATTTTGTATCCCGTAAACAAAGGAAAGCACATTATTTTTCTAATAAGATTTCTTGAATATTCAGGCTGTTAGTTAAAAATAGATAAATATACTAGGTAATAAATAAACAGAACATCTTTTCAAACACAGGTATCGACTAAAGATAAAATTTAAGTAATAAAAATATGCCAGATTAATAAATGAAAAATCCACTCCTTAAATTCCTTTGTTTACCTTAAGATACAAAACTGAGTAGAGATGTATACTTTGAGAATGATGAAAAAAAATTTGTTTAACAGCACTTTTTGAGCTTTGCTTGGCCATAGGTTCTCAGTAGCTGAGAGCTCAAAGCATGTCAGATCTAATGACAGTTTTCCCTGGGGGAAAGCAGGTTCAAATCCTGTTGGAGAGTGCATATTTTTCTAAACAGTTTTCTCAAATATTCAAGGCAGGTAGTTGAAAATAAATAAATACACTCTTTCTTTATATATATATATATATATATATATACATACATATATACTCTTCCTTGGTGTCAACCTTATGGTAGCACTTTCATGAACCATCTTAACTGGCACACTCTAACATCATCCTGGGTAAGACGTTAAACTACATCTGCGTCCTGGGTAAGATGTTAAACTATGTCCAGCAGCAAGGCCTCTGATCAGGAGGTTTTTTGACAAGCATGGAACCACCTTTTAATTGCTGGTGTTCCCAGGTCAATCCTAACTCAGGGTGGTAGCACCTGTTAGGGTCCCAACTATGGGCAAATAGTTAACTATTACCAGCAATACTTTTGTGAAAAAAATTATTACCAGCAATACGATTTTGAAGGAAATATATTACCATAAACAGATTTTTCACAAAGCAAAATATTACCAGCAATAAAAATATTTGTTGGCACTAAATAACCAAATTGAGGTTGATATTCCGTAAAACAAAATAAACCAAACCAATCTAAACCAAAGAATACATACTCTATTCATATGAATCTATCCTAAAAATGTCGTCGGCATTAAATGACCCATTGATGTTGATATGCCGTAAAACAAAATGAACCAAACCCAACACTCTAACATACCTTGTTTTATGATTTTTTGAATTCTATCTTTTTTTTTTTTTTTTTTACATGGGGACCAGTCTATTTAAGTAGTGCAAAGTGAAGATTGCTTTTAACATATCTGCCCAACTCTACAGCAGAGCTAGAAAAAAAAAAATCTAAATTTGCAATTCAGATCCTGACAACATCATAACATTCCAATTTCTATAAATGGCAAAATATCAGCCTCCAATTTTCTGCTATTCAGAATCAATTTTTAGATTAGATTCACTGATGGAGTGTCAGTTGCTATAATTTACCCCACTTGCAAGTTGATTGGTTTATGACTCAACCAATAAATTTTCACTGTCTTCATTTTGCATCTTTTCTTACTCTTGAATCGACCTGAAAATACTATATTTATCAAAAAAAAAAAAAAAATCAGATTTAAGAGTGAGATTAAAATGTTCAAAACAGAATAAAAACGTCTGTTTGGCCAAATCTGACACTCCAAATTTAGTTCCCATCAATTTTGTATTTTATTTGTAACATTCACATTGCAAAGAATTTTCAGACAGAAAAATCTAAAATTTCTTTTTTATAGTGTAATTCAAAAAATGTTACTGAACTCAAAAGCAATTTCTTTTATTTTTAATCATTTCACCCCAAGTAAGGCAGGAATGTCACTAGTACGCAGGGAGTTACAGGGAGTGAAAGTGAGAGAAAAGACTGAGTATAGGGGGGATTGAGGAGAGGACAAAAGATGAATGGGATTCAAGAAGATAGAATATAGCAATTGATGCTGCATTTAAATTTTTGAAGATTGTAGTTAACAGGAAAGCAAGAAGGGAGTTCCACAGGTGGGAAGTGCGAGAAAAGAAACTGTTGGAGTAGAAGAGACTGTTGCATTTAGGTAAACAACTGGGACCTAGATGCTAATCTAGTGACATGCTTAAATTCATGCAGTTGGGCACCAGGGGAAAAATATTTGTAGAAAAGAGAGAAGGAAGCCATGTCACTTCAGTGATAAAGTGACTGAAGTCAAGAGGTCAAATCAGGATCAATTACATTACAGATCCTTCTGTTTATTATATAGGAAAGGCATGAATTCACTTCCCTGCATCTGTTTCTTTGCTAAATATCCTAACAAAACATATTTTATCACTGGCATGCAATAGAGCTTGACAGGAAGAGAATGGGTACAGGACCACTTGGGTAAAGAATTTTCCCCATATTGCCAAGGCAGTATTAGCAATAAAATGATCTTATTGAAAAAAAGGAAGATAGAAAATGCAAAAAAAAGAAAGAGAAAAAAAAGAAAAAATGGAAGAAAGGAAAAGAAAAAAGAAAAAGAGAAAGCAAAAGAGAAAAGAGAAAGAAAGCAAAAGAAAAAGAGAAAGCAAAAGAAAGAAAAAGAGAAAGAAAGAAAGCGAAAGAATGAAAAAGAAAGGGAAAGAATGAAAAAGAAAGAAAGAATGAAAAAGAAAGGGAAAGAATGAAAAAGAAAGAAAGAATGAAAAAGAAAGAAAGAATGAAAAAGAAAGAAAGAATGAAAAAGAAAGAAAGAATGAAAAAGAAAGAAAGAATGAAAAAGAAAGAAAGAATGAAAAAGAAAGAAAGAATGAAAAAGAAAGAAAGAATGAAAGAAAGAATGAATGAAAAGGAAAGAAAGAATGAATGAAAAGGAAAGAAAGAATGAAAAGGAAAGAAAGAAAGAAAGAATGAAAAGGAAGGAAAGAATGAAAAGGAAGGAAAGAATGAAAAGGAAAGAAAGAATGAAAAGGAAAGAAAGAATGAAAAGGAAAGAAAGAATGAAAAGGAAAGAAAGAAAGAAAAGGAAAGAAAGAAAAGGAAGGAAAGAAAGAATGAAAAGGAAAGAAAGAATGAAAAGGAAAGAAAGAAAAGGAAGGAAAGAAAGAATGAAAAGGAAAGAAAGAATGAAAAGGAAAGAAAGAATGAAAAGGAAAGAAAGAATGAAAAGGAAAGAAAGAATGAAAAGGAAAGAAAGAATGAAAAGGAAAGAAAGAAAGAATGAAAAGGAAAGAAAGAATGAAAAGGAAAGAAAGAATGAAAAGGAAAGAAAGAAAGAATGAAAAGGAAAGAAAGAAAGAAAGGAAAGAAAAAGAAAAGGAAAGAAAGAAAGAAAAGGAAAGAAAGAAAGATGAAAAGGAAAGAAAGAAAGATGAAAAGGAAAGAAAAAGATGAAAAGGAAAGAAAGAAAAGGCTACAAAAAAAAGAAAGAAAAGGCTACAAAAAAAAGAAAGAAAAGGCTACAAAAAAAAGAAAGAAAAGGCTACAAAAAAAAAAGAAAGAAAAGGCTACAAAAAAAAAAGAAAGAAAGAAAAGGCTACAAAAAAAAGAAAGAAAAGGCTAAAAAAAAGAAAGAAAGAAAAGACTAAAAAAAAGAAAGAAAGAAAGAAAGAAAAGGCTAAAAAAAAAAAGAAAGAAAGAAAGAAAAGGCAAAAAAGGAAAGAAAGAAAAAGAGGCCGACATTGCTAAGAGCGACAATGAATACAAAGTTGTGGAGAACCATAACTTCCTATGTCCTGTAGGACATGGAACATTCAAAAGCATGTCATATTGTTCTGCATAATATATTTGATATTTTAGCTTCCATTCGGGCTAATTAGTTTGGAAAATAATTAGAAAGCAATACACTGTAAAGACCCATCATCCAGGCAGGGAGAAATAAATTAAGCAAATTTATCCGTTAACTCTACAATCCATTCATTAGCGGTTTTGATAATTTAACTCCCTAACGAATAATTAAAGACTAATATTTTTTGATGTCCAATGCAATTGCTTGGAAGATCACGATTGTAATGTGTGGCATGTTTCCCCAAGTATTACTTTGTGACAATGAAAATAAAGGACTTCAGAGACACTTTGGCAATTTAATGAAAGTGTAAAGAAAAGAAGGATACCCACTTTAAATGTGGTTTTGGTGGAACTTCAGATATCATACTGCAAGAGCATAGGACATATGAAAGGATTTTTCACTATAAGAAGTGCTGGGGAAATGTCTTGCTAATTGGCTAAAAAGCAAAGATTATAACAGAAATATGCAACAAATTATTTATAAGAAGGTAAGTTTGTTTTTTTGTTTTTTTTAATATGAAGCCTTTTCCTATTTTGTTACTAGATTTCCTCTGAAGGGTTGAAGAGATAAAAATTTGACCTTTGTGTGTGTGTGTGTGTGTGTGTGTGTGTGTGTGTGTGTGTGTGTATATATATATATATATATATATATATATATATATATAGAGAGAGAGAGAGAGAGAGAGAGGGAGAGAGAGAGAAAGTGGCAAAAGTTACAACCTTTTTTTTTTCTTTTTCAAATGAAGGTGGAAAGAACAATGTGAAACAATTCATTGGCCATCATGATGACCAGACCCAACACCACCAGACTTCTTGTGGGCTGTACTGAAAGATCTTGTTTACAGGCTCAAAACAAAATCAATTCCTAAATTAAAATAAGCAATAAATTTTCTGAAATTAATGTAGAAATGTGTCAAATGGTTTGTAGAAGCATTGCTGATAGGGTTTAGTCTTGTATTGAACATGAAGGGGAGCATCTTGAACTTGCTAAATAGTTTGCTAATTATAACAAATCATGTTGTTTTGATTTGACAATACATATAGATTACTGTAATTTATTTTTGTTCAAAAAAGTTAAAGTAAAGTGCATTACTTTTGCTGCACCCTCTATGTGCAAGCATATATTCAACTTCTAAATGCAATATAACTAAGATATTATTTAATTAGGAAAGCTTTTAATTGCTTCTATGAATAAAATATATTACAGCCATTGTTGTCTTAAGAAAAGTTTTTTCTATGAATAAAGAATTTCTACAAGAATTGTTTTCATTTTTTTTAATTACTTATATTTTGTTGACAGTTTTATCAGTATTTTATATATTATATCTATTTTATATACTATTATATCTATATATTCTCTATTTTATAGATTATATTTATTTTATATATTATTATATCTATATATTCTCAATTTTATAGATTATATTTATTTTATATATTATTATATCTATATATTCTCAATTTTATAGATTATATTTATTTTATATATTATTATATCTATATATTCTCAATTTTATACATTATTTTATAAATTATTATATTCTCAATTTTATAGATTATTTTATATATTATTATATCTATATATTCTCAATTTTATACATTATATTATTATTATTATATCTATTTTATATATTACTAGCAGTAGAGCCCAGCGTTGCCTGGAGATCTAACAGTAAGAGATAGATCAAGTATCGACCATCATAAAGACTGAAAAATAAAATTGACAAAGATTATTGTTTAAGGTTGATGGACACGCATGTCTTAATTAGTTTTTTTTTTTTTTGTTTCGTTTTTTTTTTTTTTTAAGAATTGGTCAAACCCAAACTCAAACAAAAACATTGTTTTCAATCGTTATGAGTCTACCGATTGAATAGAATTTTATTATAAACAATTGTCTTGTAAATGGAATTTTTAAAGCATTCTGAATGTAAAAATAAAGAAAAAAGTGTGCAAGAAACACTACCTGCCAAAAAAAAGTGAAGTTTTGTTGAAATCGGTTGAAAAATGTAGAAAATCCGAACCCATATATAAATGAACACACACACACAAACAACCTTGGTTTTATAATAAGTATAACTCGATATGAGTTGTCCCCCCCTTTTCATTCTCACGATGCCTCTTAATTGTGTTTTCAAATTGGTTTCATGCAAGAACAATTGTGTTTTTCCAATTTTTGGCGATGTCAGAACCACCGCAAGGTAATTTTACGTAGTCCTGTGAAGTTTTGTTGAAATCGGTTGAAAAATGTAGGAAATCCGATCCAATATATAAATGTACAGACACACACAATCTGCGTTTTATAATAAGTATGATTATATCTATTCTCTATTTTATACATTATATTATTATATCTATTTTATATATTATTATATCTATATATTCTCTATTTTATACATTATATTATTATATCTATTTTATATATTATTATATCTATATATTCCCTATTTTATACATTACATTATTATATCTATTTTATATATTTTACTGATAATCAGAAAAAATCATCCCAATCAATTTAAATTCAGTTTGAAATACAGCAAAGTATTTTGTTTATTGGAAATATTAAATTTAATCCATTAGTATTGCAGGATGCTAGTATATTTGAGTAAACATTTAGTCACCATTATGTTGTGGTAATCAACACTTTGGAGAGTAAATATTTATGGGCTCCTGGAAAATTTATCCCATAAACAATATTAGCAGATTCAATGTGAGTAAGTAAAAAATGTGTAACACAAAACAATAAATATAAAACAAACAACAATGCATGTATTGACAAAAGGAAAAAAACATGAAACTAGCTATAAGAATGTGCTTGTTTGTGTAATATATATAATAAGAATGTGTGTGTGTGTGTGTGTGTGTGTGTGTGTATGTGTGCATAACAAGCATGTGTGAGAGAGTACAAAAGTCAAGAGAGAAAACCATGAAATGAATATGCCCCAGTGGAGGAGGGACACTTGACTCACATACAACTACATCTTAAAGCCAGATCTGAAAACTGAAAAAGAGAGTAGGGAGATAAATGCATGCATTTATACAGGCTCAAGTAGTGCCCATTAGAGATGTTTTTTTTTTTAGCAAAATCAAGTGGGATAACCCACATTAGGTTAGAATTAAAATTAAAGGCTCCAAGAAAGATTTTTCACTTTTTTAAATCCATATAGCTTTGTATGGGTGCTTACATAAAAAAAGCATATAGAAAAAAACTTGCATTTTTAAACCTATTGGTTATAGAAAGGAAAGGTGAAAGATGATTTATTTTTAAATATAAACAATACCAATTTCTTGATTATTGTACTACTGATGTTCCATATTTAATTTTTCTTTTAACTTTTTTTGCAGATAGCAGTAAAAAAAACTACTGTTTTTGATCTATGACATAATAATATAACATTCATAATAATCTAGCATGAGTAAATAAACATTATTTTCATAATATTTTAAGCAAAAAGTATTAATTTCACAAAATCCAATTAATTAATCCATAAACTTACTAATTTACTTTGAAACACATCCCAAGGGCAAATATTGCACTTTTAAAAGATTTTTAAAATCTGTTTACATTTTCGTTTACAATAGCAATTTGATGAGTGATGAGTGAACATAAAAATATTTTTAAAATGTCTAAAAAAACTTTATAAACGGAAATTAATTTTTTCCACACTGATTAGCTTTCATATTGTTCTAATAAAACCCAAATTTTACTATAAAGGAAGCATTTTTAAATTTTTAATGTGTTTAAGGTTTTTTTTAGCTTAAACTTTGGCAGTACCTACTGATATTTAACTAACTCACTGACTCACCTAAAAAAAAAAAAAAGAAGAACGCCACTAGAGGATGCTCCATAAGCCTATGAGCAGACATCCCCCTTTTCCTTTTTCACTCAGAGACAGTAAAATGTAGGTTGAACGAGGAAAATGCTTTCCCACTGGGGAATGCACACATATGTATGCACCTTTCATTTCATTTTCTCTAGCTTTCAGATGTAGTCACACATAGATAAGGATATTGCTGCTGAGGTGCATTCGCTTCCCTTGGTCCTCTGTTGATTTTTGAACTCTCTCTCACACACACGCATATATAGATGTGTCTATCACACACACTTGTTACACTTGCTTCTACACAAACACCTTCACTAGTTTAAGTGTTTTCTTCATTCATATTCATTGTTTTTATAACATGCAACAATCTTCTATCGTCTATGCATACCCTTAATATATACTTATCGTTTGTGATTTATATAAGAAAAATATACAGAAAAACAAACAAAAATCGTAATATGCAATTATGCTGTTTTAATGTTAATATAATGTCAACGTCGGACGTTTCGGTCTAACAGACCATCTTCAGGACATATTCATAAAACATAATTAACATTAGACTATATTCAATTCAACATGAAAAGACAATGGACATAAGAGTAAGACCAATCCAAACAGATAACTGAAATTTTTTTTGAAGATGGTCTATTAGACTGAAACGTCCGATGTTGACATTATATTAACATTAAAACAGCATAATTGCATATTAGGATTTTTGTTTGTTTTTCCATATATTTTTCTTCATACTGTTGGATCTATATCCATATATTTGCTTATATATATATATTTAAGTTATGAAGAACTTGGTAATCTGTATGGGTAATCCAAAGGAGGATGAAATCCTGAGAGCTCATATATATATATATATATATATATATATATATATATATAATTAGTCAGTTTTGTTATTTAGTTCATTTATTACCCGGACTCACATTCCAAGTACACCATTTTTGTTGTGGGATAAATATACCAGGAGATACGTTTTCTACCTGAACACTCGACCAGCACTTCCCGCAACTCTACTTTCAAACCAAGGTAAAAACCTTTTGGAATAACTTGAAAATATTTGGTAACTGATTTCAAAGTTGTCTTTTTTTTTTCTTTTAACTGAAGAGTGCCAGACCTTGATGGATCTAATGGATAGATTGCAGGCTGGATCTTAAAGAATAATTTGTATCCTATTAATAAATTTTTATCTCCAAGCTTAAGAATTTGCCATGATAAAAATAGAGTAATTGGAAAAGGAAAAAAAATATATATTTTGTACATTAAGTTCAGTATTTGCAGGTGCATCAAAATACAAATATTTTTCTTGGACTAAGAATTATTTTAATTTTTCTACTGTGGCAAAATTAAGAAGATGAAAACATATTTTAATAATAATTTGGTATGTACTACATTCAAACATTTTTTGTTAAAGAAAGACAACAGGCAAGTGATGCATATATTTTTTTCTTGTTGGCCAGGTTCTCAGTCTTCAAATTGTAAAGGAATTGTCCATAGTTCAAGTTAATTCTTTCTAAGGTTCCAAGTTTCAAAAAAGAAATTAGATAAAATT